TCCCACAGTAGCTTCTTCTGGAATATCCCTTATTTTTAAGTTATTGCGGCGTGATCTGTCTTCTAGGTCTGCGTATTTTTAATTGATCAGTGTCGTTCGGAGTCTATCAGACCTTGTTCCAATTTACTAATTTTTTCAAAGTTTTCATTTAGTTTTCTGTTGATAATAAGTAAATATGTTTTAAAATCTTCTGAAAAAAGTTGGATTTCACTTTTGATCTTTAAAAATTGTGTTTTCAAGGCACTCTTAAGTAGATCTACTGTCACCTGTTGGGATTTAGTTGTTATCTCAGCTTTTTCTACTCTTTCTTGATATACACTCTTTGTTGTTTCATCCAGAAGGTTACTTTGATCCCCTATTTTCAGGTGTTGAGGTGAAAAAAAGGATAAGCGTTTATCCAGCGGTTCATTTTTGTTCTCCAGTTTTTGTTTTTTTTCTTCTTATTATTATTATTTATTATTCCTAGCCGCCACTTTGTTACAAAAAAAACCAAACAACCAAAGTATATACAGTGTTTAAGTTGTTGTTATATTTTTAGTTACTGTCTGTATAATAAATCTTTCTGTGGGGGAGTTCTATATTGCTATTTTATAGATTTGATTTCTCTGAGCTCTGTAATGTTATTTAACAGAGCATGATAGAGTTTTATGAAGGTTTTTTTTAAAGAGTTATGGTCTCTAAGCTCTATGTTTCAGTGATACAGGGCTGAACTCTGTATTATTGGTCATGCAGGTTGTACAGGGTTGCTGTTATAGTATTCTATGAAATAGATATTTCTGTCAGAGAACTGTGTTGCTTTTTTACAGAATTACTGTCTCTGAGTTCTGTGCTACTATTTTAGTATGTTTTACAATCCTTGTGCTTTAAATTATTATTTTCCAGAGTTGCTAATTGTATTATTAAATTCTCTCTTTCACTCTCACAACCCTCTCCTACTTTCACAAAAAGATTTTAAATCCATGTAGCATACATTCTGCTTCCCCCCACCTCTTTTTTGTTTTCTCTTTTTCTTCTCTCTATCTCTCTCTCTCCTCCTTTATTTAGAGAACTTCCTCTCACTCTTGTGTCCTTGGAATATGGTGAAAATATCTATTCTTAGGAACAGATCTGCTATCTGAGCAGTGTCTTCACCCCTCTTACAGGGTTCATCACTCTACATAACACAAAATTTTCCCATCAATACAAATGACCATGTCACCTCATTATGCTGTCTGCGTGCATAATTCCTCTGTCTCTCCGCTTTAAGCGTCCTGGGCTCCCAGCTTCCAATGTTCATATGTCGACCCTGGAGTGGTATACAGGGTTCTTGCAGGAAGTTTCCAGCCTGGTGCCATTCACCATATATCCTCTTGCAGCAAAACACCTCTAAAGCACTTCAGACACCGTGGCATTATCCCTCCATCGATCCTTGTCCGGCTCTAAACCCGCAAGCGTAGCAGTGCTACGTCATCGCTCCTCCCCCAGTTGAGAGGTTAACATATTTTAACCTCTTTAGTTTATATATAAACAAAAATGAGAGCACTCACTGGATTCCAAATTCCATTTAATACATGATTTTGAAATTTGGAATCCAGTGAAAGCTCTCATTTCTGTATTGGAATATACTGTGCAGCACCTTGGTATATATATTTTTGGTTTAACACACACTTAGGTTGAGTGCCAGACTTACTGAGTTTTGCTTATTTATATATATATATATATATATATATATATATATATATATATATATATATATATATATATATATATATATATATATTGCTGGTAAGACCACACCTTGAATATGCTGTGCAATTTTGGGCACCTAGGAAAAGTGCAAAGACTAGCTACAAAATTGATGAAAGGAATGGAGCATTTTAGTTACGAAAAAAGGTTACAAAATTAAAATCTCTTTAGTTTGGAAAAACACACCTCAGAGGGGATATGATAACATTATACAAATATATTCTGGGCCAGTACAAACCATTATCTGGAAATATATTCATAAACAGAGCTATACATAGGACACAAGGTCACACATTTAGGCTGGAAGAAAGGAGATTTCATCTAAGGCAAATAAAAGGTTTTTTTTTACAGTAAGAGCAATAAGGAGTCCATACAGATGTTTAAACTGCAATTGGATAAATACTTGCAAAAACATAACATACATTGATATAATTTCTAATTAGTGGTGTAATAGCTGCTTGATCCAAGGAGATATCTGACTGCTATTTTGGGGTCAAGAAGGAATTTTTTCCTAGTTTGTTGCAAAATTGCAAGCGCTTCAGACTGGGTTTATTTGCATTCTTTTGAATCAACAGCAAAAACATATGTGGGGAAGGCTGAACTTGATGGACGCAAGTATCTTTTCAGCTATGTAACTATGTAATTATTTATATATATATATATATATATATATATATATATATATATATATATATATATATACATATATACATATTAAATATATATATATATATATATATATATATATATATCTAAAAAAAAAAGTTATGGCAGGGAAAAATTGTGATTGAAAACCCCTTCAACCTGAAGTCTGTGGATAGTCCAATACAATGTTAAACACAAATCTGCACACCAGTCAAGCCACAGAAATCACAAATTTGCAGTGATGTTGCAACCGCAAAGAATTCTGGGTGGGCATATGCAAATCAGTTCAACAAAGAATCACATTTTCGCCTCATTCCATTTTAAACATGGATTCCTTTGAGTGTTTGCTGTATACAACAGCTTTGAAACACAACTTAGGAAAAGATGCAAAGCCACACAACCTCTGATTGAGGTTTTCATTAACAATGAAGCAGCTGTCCATGTGTAGTTCACCAGGCGTTAATGTGAATATTCGGGTTAGACCACAACATTCGCAACTAAACCTGTTTGATGTAATTTAGCAAAATCAGGGAATGAGATACCGCCTTTGTCATAGTTATTTTGTAAGATCTTTTGAGATATTCTTGGGCATTTATTTGCCCCCCCAAAATTTGAAAATAACCTTTGGAATTGTACTATCTTATCATTGCTTAATCTGAAGGGTAGAGATCTAAATAAATATAATAATTTTGGAATAGAATACGCATTCACTATATTTAAGCACCCCAACCATGAGATCTCAGTTTAGGTCAACTTGGACAGTTGCTTATAAATAGAAGAATATAGATTATCATAGTTACAGTGTATTATATTCTGAATATTAAACAATAACTTAATACCCAGATACTCAATATACGCCGGGTTCCAATTAAACTGAAATTTAGATTTAAGTATAAATAGTTCAGCCTCAGACACATTTAAAATCATAATTTGAGGGGTTTTATGTTAATTTTATAGTTTAAGATAGTTCCATAGATTTCAGTTATTTTTAAAACTTCTGGAATAGAGATTGCTGGCCTCACCTGCGATAGAAGCACATCATCCGCAAATAGAGAAATTTTATACTCCCAATCAGCTGATTTAATCCCATGTACTTCTTTCTTAGCTCTAATCATAATAGCCAATGGCTCAATAGATAATATATATACATATATATATATATATATATATATATATATATATATTAATGAGGCCAATGGGCAGCCTTGCCTTGTGCCATTTTTTATTGGAAAGGTAGATGATTTGTAAAATGGGTTTACAATTTTCATAGATTGCTCTATATATAATGACATGATTTTATCTTTAAATGGGCCTCGGAATCCAAATTTGTTTAATACTCTATCTAAAAACATCCAATTAACCATGTCAAATGCCTTTTCTGCGTCAATTGCCAAAATGGCCAATTCTGAATTCATAAGATTGCTTTTAATAATCAAATTGAGTATTTTACGGATATTATCTGTTGTACCTCTGTCTCTGATGAAACCAGACTGGTCTACCGCAACTATATAAGAAATAACTGCTTTCAATCTGTTTGCTTAAATATTTGAATACATTTTTAAATCTAGATTTATTAAAGAAATTGGTCTATAATGTATTGTATTCGTGGGATCTGTTCCTGTTTTGGGAGTTGGAATACTAGATGATAACAGCATCTCTTTAGGGAAAGGATTAGTAGTTGATACAAGAAGAAAGATTTTCAATAGTATAGTGGCCAAAATGTCAACAAAGGTTTTATAAAATAACGTTGAGAAGCCGTCCAGTCCAGTAATATTGGCTTTAAGTTTTTTTAATTGAATTAAATATTTCTAAAATAGTAATAGGAGCATTTAGATCTCTGAGTTTTTCCGGAGAAATTTCCGGTATAGCAAGTTTATTCAGAAACCCATTTATTTCCAAGGTTGATACCTTAGGACATGGTAGATTGTTTAAAGCCTAATAAGAGTCTACAAAGGCCTGAGATAATTCCTAAGGGTTTAAAAAGCGTTTATCTCCTACTATTATTTTTTTTATTGTTTAATCTTTAGAAGTATTTTTTAATCTGTTTGTAAGAACTTTATTGACTTTATTATTATTATTATTGTGGTACCATTTTTGCTTGAGAAAAATAATAAATGTATTTGCCTCATCCAAAAATTTGTAATTAATATCATGTTTCAAGCATATAATTTCATTAGTAATATCTAGGGTTATTTGTAACTTATTTTCTCTTTCAAACTTAACCAGCTTAATATATAGTTTAGAAATACTTTCTTCTGTTTTTTTCTTTTGTTTGAGAAAAATAGGTATAATCTCTTGACTGTGGGTTAAAGGTTCCCCAACAATCATTGAGAGAATTCTTCAGCAGAATTCTTCTTTGTGGTGTTTAATGGAGTGCCTGTGCATGTTCATTCTGCTATTTAAATGCTGGGTGGTTTCCCAAATGTAGCATCCTGGGTGGCATTTGGTGCAATGAATCATGTATACCACATTGCTGGATGTGCAGGAGTATGAACCTTTAATGTAGATTTTATTGTTGTGTGTGGCTGTGCTGTCTGTGCATATGTGCTGACACAGTTTGCAGCAAGATTTTTTGCATTGACTGGTCCTGTTTTCTTTATTCTTCCCATCAGTGTGTAGCTTCCTGTTGATTAGTTTTTGTTTGGTGCTTGTCTGAAGGCCAAAATGGGTGTTTCAGAGATAATGTTTTTCAGAGTCTCATCTTCTGTTAACATTGGTTGTAGGTCTTTAATGATTCTACTTATTTCCTCAAGAGTTGGGTTGTAGGTGACCACAAGTGGAACTTGTGTAGATATTTTTTTCTCTCTGTATTGTAGCAGGCGCGGGCATTGAGTTTTTACAGCAGAGTGGATTTGTTTGGTAATAGTCTTTGGTTTGTAGCCTGTCTCATAGATTGGGAGAGTACATTTAGAAGGGGAATTACAGTCATTAGGATCAGAGCATATGTGATGATACCTAGTAGTTTGGCTGTAGATGATGCCCTGTTTAGTATGGGAGGGGTGGAAGCTGGAACTGTGAAGGTAACTGCACCTGTCTGTGGGTTTTCTGTAAATCGAGGTGTGTATTATGCCATTGTTACATGTCGCAGTGGTGTCTAGACAATTCACAGATCTAGTGGAATATTCAATTTTTAGTTTGATTGATGGATGGAATGAGTTAAAAGAGTCATGGAACTGTATCAGTTTTTCTTCGCTTTCAGTCCCTGTTCAAGATCTGCCATAAACAGATTAGCATATTGGGGTTCCATCTTAGTGCCCATAACATTGCCCATGGTTTGTAAGAAAACTAAATTGTTAAAACTGAAGTAATTATGTGTGATGATGAATAGTGCCAGTTCTGTGATAATTTAGGGGCTCTATTTTTGGTTGTTGGCATAAGAGAGGAAATGGAAGCAAGCATTGATGCCATCTGTATGTGAAATGTTGCTGTACAGAGATTTGGAAGTCTGTTGTGTCTTTTATAAAGCTGTTGATGTTGGTGACTACATACATTTGTATGCTTCTAGGTACATGTATTGGTGCTGGTGTGTGAATGTATATGTAGGTGTGTATGTATATATATGTATATATTTGGACATTTGGTTATATTTATATGTATATTGTTGTATCCTGTAAATCTTGGATGGGAATTCATGCATTTTATATAAGCAATTATGTTGTTTTTACTCTCCCCTGCACTGTCTGCATTTTTTTTTCTCTCTCTCTCCCCCCCCACTCTATGATCTCCACACAAGATATTTACAACCCTCTGTGAGAATAGTGTCTATTCCCTACTAAACCTGTGTCTTATCTGCACTCATGTCCTTTAACCCCTATATCACAACTCAACTCTGAATTCTATGTGTCATCTTGCTCAGAAATGCCTTAGACTTGAGAAAGGGAAGATTGTCCTGAAAGCTTGTCATTAAAAAATTCTGTTAGTCCAATAAAAGGTATTACAAGATATGAATTGAATCTATTTTTTACATCTATATATGTATAGCAATAGAATGTAATAGTCTACACTCACGGTCTCAGTTTAAAATTTAGCATTTATTCCTTCGTGGTTAAAATGTGCACATGTTAAAGGGCATACACTGATGCCAAAACAGGTCGATGTTTCAGTCCCAGCGTGGGACTTTCCTCAGGACTCTTGCTGTGCACATTTTAACCATGAAGGAATAAACACTATGTTTTAAACCAAGACCAGGAGTGCAGACTAATACATTATATTACTTGTTGTTTTGTAACTACCTGTCCCACCAATCCCACCAACTGCGATCACTGTGAAGAGTGAGTATCCAGGCTGTTGACGGTGTAGATTGTGAAGGCGTGCTATGACGCCTTACAGTGTTAAAGCCAACCTTTTGTAGGGTAGCATAGCATGCCCGTCGTCATTATGATGTTAATAAACTAAATTCAGAACACACATAAATGGACACACTAGGCCCCACAACAACTTTAATGCATTTCATAATTTCTGACCTCAAAAATATGCAATGTTATTGTATATGTATATATGTGTAGCTTTTACAAAAAGTAAAAATCTTTGCAGATTGCTACAGCATAATATTGCCTACTTAGTCACACACATTCCAGAAAAAAACAACTACTGTTAGCACTGAGTAAACTGGACTGCTGTAAGAAAAGCAGGCTGAATGAGATACACCAGAATTTGGGTAGAGACATTGGACTAGATTCTCTTAGAATACTGTTTAATGAATAGCAATTTTCTCATGGACTTCAATGGAAGAATAACTATTCAGTAAGCAGAAAAAAACAGCTGATATGAAGCTAATACTTTATGTCTAACTGTTTTCTCTGACTGTCTGCAGTGCATAATCTTAATTGTATATTACATGTGAGCTGAGAAAAGGAGCCATGTGGTCTAAATGTTATACATCAAAGGTGATTAACAGAATAGAACACAGAGTGGGAGGGAGTCTCAGGGTTAAAATCTGGCATTCACTAAACTTTGTAAGAAGGTCTTCTAAATGCCTTTTTTCTAAACTTCTTTTTCTTCTAAGCTGCAATTATTCAACTAGTTTAGACAATGCCAGGCTTAGCTGTGCTCAGAAAACTCCCACAGTGAGCAGGGTAAACAGCAGTACCCCAGGATTTCCTTCTATGTTTTATTCAGTTACCAATCCACTCACGTATAATACATAATAAAGTTACTTTATTCAATCCACAGTCAAGCTACAGACAGCAAGAGAAACAGTAAGAATATCGCCACATGTCTGTTTATTATGCATCTTTATGGGTGTCTAATTCTAGGTTAGGCCGCTTTGCTTGTAAAAAAGAACCTTCTTCATTTAATGCACAACAGAAATACTAACAATCAGAGAAACAACAAACAGTAGTGGTATGCTTGTCACACGTCTAAATGTTGCTTGCAGCTTTAACTTACTCAGTGCTGTCAGTGGCTGAAATGAGTCTGTGTATATTACTATCTGTGTGGTACACTTAGACACACTGCATATTACTGTGAGATACAGCACTGTAGGGCTCTTTGATACACTCATGCAAATTGCACATTACCATGAATGTAATTATATGGAGCTCTATGATCTACACATTAGAGATGTTGCGAACTGTCCGCTGAACTGTTCGCGAACTGTCCGCCGGCGAACAATAGCGTGTTCGCGTTGGGCGAACATATCCGATTTCCGGTCTGCCCCCTATATGTCATCATTGAGTAAACTTTGACCCGGAACCTCACAGACAGCAAACACATTCCACCCAATCAGCAGCAGACCCTCCCTCCCAGGAAGTGTCTGCTGACTGTGAGGTTCCGGGTCAAAGTTTACTCAATGATGACGTATAGGGGGCGGACTGGAAATCGGATATGTTCACCCAACGTGAACACGCTATTGTTCGCCGGCGGACAGTTCGCGAACAGTTCGGCGGACAGTTCGCGACATCTCTACTACACATACATTCTTTATATTACTGTGAGTTATATTGCTGTGGGACATTGACGCAGATCTATGTTATACACTCATACAAATTGTACATTACTGTGAGTTTTATTGCTGTGGATCTCTGTACAACACTCACAGAGATTGCACATTGTGGTGAATTTTATTTGTGGAGCTCTGCTCATGGATACAACATATTGTTAGGAGTTTAATTGCTGTGGTGTGCTCAACATGTTATAAATAAAAGTTAATACAATTTTAAACACTCTTGGCTCAAAGAACAAAAAACATGAGAGCGAATGCAGGTCTTTTGATATTTTGTTGTGACAAACAATGATTGCTCTTCCTAAATAGGGACGTTTGGGTTGTATGACAAAAAGGATAAATACTTCATGGATAATTAAAAATCCATAGTAAACATTTATCACAATATATTGCTCAGATGTCTCTGTTCAGCAAGAGTTATCAACACACAATCAATATATAATAAATGTATCATCTGTGGCAATAGTTAATCACCCACCAGTTGACCAAATTATTCCATCATATTTGTCCTGTACTTAATCACCCGTGAAGGAACAATTCCATCAGGCATACTTTTGCCAGTGAGGACTGTGTCCTGTTGCTACCGAGGAGACCTATGCGTCACTCAAAACCTGGGGCTCCCTTATTCAGCTAGGACTAAAATTGTGGCCCCACATTTATTGATGAGATGTGTTGATGAGGAAAGTGAGTAATGTGCACAGCCTGTAGAAAAGAAGATGAACTGCCAGCATACAAACATCATAGATACTCACAGTCATGTGGTGGAAATAAGACCCTAGTTCCACAGTTCAGGCACATTAATAATCCAAAAGAACACTTCAGCAAACAGAAGTAAGTGAAAGCAAATTGAAGAAAAAACATCTAAATTGCAATGTAAAAAAAGTGATTTTTTTATTGCAATAGCTTACAGATTTATGGACTACACACCAATACTCCAATGTGTGTGTATTTTTGTAATCATACACTAGTATAACAACATTTCAGTGAGATTGGTTGCAAAATGGCCAAGAGAATAATGTTATAACTACCCTATATAAATATTATAATGTGTATTTAGTGTGTCAGTTTGTTTTTGCTTTTATCTGACTGCTATTAACCCCTTCAGGACGGAGTCAATAGTACACATTTTGATCAAAACAAAATGTTAAAAAAAACTAGAATTTGCGCTAAATGACTGTTCAACCGTAATTCACCTCTTTCATATTAAGTGCACCCATACTTATTATATATAATTATGTTCAGGAAAAACAGGGCTTTAATTTCTCATGAACTATATGTGAAACATAATTTATTATGAATAAAATAAAAAAAACTGTGAGAAATTAAGATTTTTAAAAATAATTGTAGTTCCGCCTGATATTTTAGCTGTAAATATCATAATGCTGTTAGCGTTTACTGCAATAAAATTCAAAAAGTTACAGGGTCAAATATAGCACGTTCCATTTTTCATTTTTTTCACATAATTTGCCAGATTAATAATAGTACCTGTGAGACCATGTGGTAGCCCAGGAATGAGAATTACCCCCAAGATGGCATACCATTTGCAAAAGTACACAACCCAAGGTATTGCAAGAGGGGTATGTCCAGTCTTTTTTAGTAGCCACTTAGTCACAAACACTGGCCAAAGTTAGCGTTCATATTTGTTTTTGTGTGAAAAAAGCAAAAAACAAACATTTGGCCAGTATTTGTGACTAAGTGGCTACTAAAAATGACTGGACATAACCCATTTGCAATACCTTGGGTTGTCTACTTTTGCAAATGGTATGCCATCATGGGGGTAATTCTCATTCCTGGGCTACCATACGGTCTCAGAGGCAACATTAGCAAACTGGCTATGGTTTTATTATGTCCTGGGAAGTTACAGGGTTAAATATAGTGCTTGCGAATTAAATTTTCTGCACTTTCTGTCTGGGTTATCAGGCACATCAATCAAATTTGAATTAATTAAATCACATAATTATGTTAAAGGATTATTTAAATATAAACGTAGAATTTTAATAAATATATATATATATATATATATATATATTTAAATTC